TCGATTCTTTTATTTAAAAAAAAAATGCTGGTTATAATCCACTAATGGCTTCCCAGGTAGCTCTGAGTGGTAAAGAGCTCACCTGACAATGCAGGAGACTGCGACTTGGGTTCGATCCTTGAGTCGGGAAGATCCCCTGGAGGAGGCCATGGCAACCCTTCTGGGCACAGAAGCAGGCTACGGTCAGGCCATAAGGTCGCAAAGAGTGGGACATGACTGAAGCAACTTAGCATGCACATGTGCAATAACACTAAATTTATTTCAAAACCTGTTGATGGGTCATAGCTTTCATCTCGAAAACCATCCCCTACAGTGAAGGTAGAGATCAAAGGCAACAGAGGAAGGTTCTCGGGAGCTTGACTGATTTGTTATTACACTGTGAATTAAATCAGTGAACCTGTTTATATTTGTCACGTAATAGCACAGTACTGGCTCCACCCTAGGTGACCAGACAGCCCTGTGGCTGTACTTTGTGATCAGGTTAATCTGGGGAGTGAACCCGTCAGGGAGAGAGAAGCCCTGCAGGCCTGTGAGCTGCCGGGAAGCCCTGCCTCTCCCATTGTTACCGTGATGGATCTGCACTTCCAAACAGTAATCACCCATCACATGAACCCAATTCTATTTTTCTAGCTCAGCAGGGCTCAGGGTGCTCTCTGAAGCTACAAAGGGGAGAAAATACTCCCTCCAATCTTTCTGCATGATGAATTCTTCCACCTCTACATAAAGCCATGCTTACAGGCCTGTCTTATGGGCTTTTTGAATGTCCCAACAATGACAAAAAAAGAAAGAAAAGAAAATCTGGGTAGGAGAACAATAACGCTGTGCTGCAGCCAGCTCATATTGCCTTACATTTTTCACCTCTTTCCTTATAAGAGCTCTCAGCTCTAGGGGCAAAATAAAGATAAGAGGAAAGGAAAACCTACACAGTATCAATAAGTTTACCCTTGAGATTAAGTCACTTTCTCAGATGGCGTTTTCACAATATAAATGTTTTATGCATTTGTGCTTAGATTTTAAGATATTTGATAAGAAATCAAATTTCCCTCCAGCTTTTATTCAGCACCATCCCCTCACATACAAACTCACGCATACACACATGGAAACTGATTCCTAATCTCAGAGTTAATTTCTCATTTACCATGAGTATGGCGCTTTTTCTACAGAGTATGATCAACCTAGAGGTACTGGCGTGTGAGTTTAATAATATTTTTGATAACTAGAAAGGAGGAAATAACCCACGAGTCATGAAAAACCTGAAAAGACTATTCTGATGTTTGTTTACCTTGAACTAAATTTGCAAGGAAATAAAATTACTCTGGTAGCTAAGACTGCACACTCAGATTCTTTTGTTTGAATTAATTATACTTAACTGCTCTATAATGTCCTGATTAATTATTTCCTGTTCCAGTCAATTTGTTGTGCATTTTTGATATGAAACTTGCATCATGATGAGAATCTTGGACCTATTTCTCATCTTGCTTGAGGGCTCCCGTAGAGCTGATCTGAATGACTAGCTTCAAAGGAAGCCGGCGTCTCCACCAGCACCCTAGGAGGGCTGTGTCACAGCGCAGGCAGTGACAGGGCAGCTGCATTTTCGGCCCAGAGCATGGAATCGACACTTCTGCATGGGCAGCAATAAACCAGAGCTTTAAATGCTGCACCATTTGTGAGAAGTGTATCCCCCACTCTGCGCAGGCCCCGCGTGCCTTCTCTCCCATCAGCAGGCTCTCCAGAGTGAGGGGTTCTACACAGGAGGGTGGGCATGATTGGATAGGTCCTGGAGACAGGAGAAGCTGACTGTGTCATCTTCTTATCACAGCTGTAACAGATTACCACCAGCTTAGTGATGTCATAGCACACAAACTGACTGTCTTAGAGTTCTCCGTTTCGGAAATCCTATGTCAGGTTGGGAGTAGGGCTGCATTCCTCCGCAGTGCTCTAGGGCTCAGTCCATTGCTTTGCTCTCTCCAGCTTCTGGCGGCTCCTGTCTCTTCCCTCCCTGAAAAGCCAGCAGAGAAGCATCTTCCAATCTCTTTCTCTGACCTCTTGCTTCTGTCATTTTAGCCCTTTCCTCTCACTTTCCTGCCTCCCTGCTTTTCTTCTAAGAAGCTTTGTGATTATATTGGGTTCAGATAATCCCCAGCAATCTTCCATCTCAAGATTCTTAGCCACATCAGTCCCTTGGTACATAGTCACAGGTTCAGAGATTAGGATGTGGACTTCTTCTTGGGGGGACACTCTTCTACCTTTTGCACAAAGTATCCAGATCGAATAAAAGACAGTGTAGGTCAGGCCCGAGCTGCCCCGGTGGCAGGGCATGTTTAACCAGTCCTGAACCAGGCCCCAGGGAGAGGAGCGAGAGTAGAAGTCAGGAGGTGTAAGTTCTACTCTTGGTTAGAGGACTTAAAGTATGTTCCAAGGCCTGCCTTGCTTTTTACCTTGGTTAAAAGTTGATTTGCATTCACAATGCCCTAAAACTATTCATGTAGCAATAACTACAATGGCCCAAGATACCAAATTAGCTTATACCCATGGACCAAAAGACAGCAAAGAGGTGCCACAGAGGACCTGAACACCAGGAGTGCCCCTGGCAAGCAATGACTAACATCTCGGCATGGTTGAATAAAGGGATGCAGTAAGCAGTTCATCCCAAGCTACAGTTGGCACTCACACATTTCAAGGAAGACTGTCAGAGTGGGGAAGGTTAATGAGCTTTGGAGAGGAGAGGTGAAAAGAGGTGAGGGTGGGCCGGGCCCTCACCAGCCCTCTTTCCCCCGACAAATCCACTGAGCTCGTCCCCGAGAAGAGATGGACACATCAGACACATAGCCTGAGGTCCTGAAGTCCTCAGGTCATGTAACTAACTGCTCTTTCCTCTGATTCCAGGCTTGCCATGAAACCCGGGGATAATTGGGCTTCCCAGGGAGGCCCCATGCAGGGAGGGGGACGGGCTGTCAATCTTGGGTCCGCTTGACAGATCGACTCTGTGTCTCAGAGAAAATTAACAAACCGGAGTGCGGACTTGCATATGTTAATGCCTGGAGAGTTTAGTTGGCATGAGTCAGCACCTCAAAGCTGTCAATCCGGTCTGTGTGCAAGATATATACTCTAATTTCTCATGAAAATTAGCAAACCAGCTATGCTGGTTTGTATTTATTAATGCCTTGAGAATTCCTTTAGGCTGAGTCAGTGTCTAAACACTGGTCAGATCTGAGGTAGCCCTCTGTCTCCCAGCCCCAGCACCTGCCCCAGCCCTCATTCTGGGCCACGTCCTCGCACACCCCCCCATTCGCCCACAGTACACCCTGCAAGGTGCCTTTGGAGCCGGACAGCCCTGCAGCGTGGCCCCGGGTCACCCCCAAGCCTTCTTCAGGGCCTCACTTAAGTGCTGCTTCTTTTAGAAGCCTTTTGTAAGCCTTCAGCCTTCTCCGGACATCCCTGCCTTTTGTTTGAGGAGTGCTGCACTTTCCTTTGTTTCACTCTTCACCCTCTTTTGGCATCTTTCCCACCACGAGAGGAACCAGTGGGGTTTTCATTTTTAGATGCCTGGTGCCTGGCATAATAACTGGCATAAAGTAGGTACTCGATGAATATTTATTGAACAAATGAGAAAATGGACACTATCCTGATCAGCCCTCACGCTTCTTTTCATCCGCTGGAGAGTGGAAAACGGATGCTAACACACCAAAAGATTCAAGAGTAGATAGTATAAATTAAAAGAAAGGTCACATTCAAGATAGCAGAGATGCCTTTGTAGAGCTAACAGGAGGTTGTCTTCCCAGGAGCCTCGGAGAGACAGCCCATGTGGGTGAGAGCCCAGTGGTGACAGGACAGGACCGCGGCGGTGACAGGGCGTCAATCAGGCGGCCCTAACAGACAGTCAGACACTTCTGTCTGCATGTCCTGACCATACCACATGCTGCAGGTCCCAGAGCAAGTGCGCAGTCCTTTATGATATCCACAACCTCCAAGTGTTCTTATTGCTGGGTGTTTCCCAGGATCCTAACTCTGGAGTTAAGATTGCTCAGTCTTAAGTTCATACCAGTTGATAAAGCAGACTCTGAGGTGGGTTTCTCGTATTACTGCTGCCTGAATTCCAAGTCACATCAAGTCCCCCACCTGGGCGACTGCAAAAAGCGTCTTGATGCCTTCCAGTTTGTGGCCTCTCACTTTTTCTTACCTACGCGTGTGTGCGCTCAGTTGCTTCAGCCGTATCCAACTCTTGTGACGCCATGGACTGCAGCCCGCCAGCCTCCTCTGTCCATGGGAGTCTCCAGGCAAGAATCCTGGAGTGGGTGGCCATGCCCTCCTCCAGAGGATCGTCTCCACCCAGGGACTGAATCCACGTCTCCTGTGTCTCCTGCCTTGCAGGCGGATTTTTTACTGCTGAGTCGCAGGGGAAACCCTTTTCTCGTCTATACTGAATCTCAAACTCTTTTCTTCAAAAACAAATACTCGGGCTCCTGGGAGGTACAGTGGTTAGGATTTCCAGCTTCTAATACAGGGGACGCTGGTTTGATCTTTGGTCAGTGAACTAAGATCCCACATGCTCACTGCACAGTGCAGCTTAAAAAAAAACACCCAAATGCCACTTATTATTATTATTATTTTGGCCATTCCAAGTGGCATGAGGATCTTAGTTCCCCACCAGGGATCAAATCCTTGCTCCCTGCCGTGGAAGCTCAGAATCTTAACCACTGGACCGCCAGGGAAGTCCCAGTATCACTTTTATAATCTCGTCTCCTTCGTCTTCTGAAACCCTTCCAGCACACTGTCAGCAGAGGGTCCTGCAGCCCTGCAGGTCCCGCCCTGTCTCATCCAGCCTGTCTCCTTCAGCTTCACATCCAAGCCCTGACACCCTCCCAGCCCATTTCTCCTCCTCCTCCAGGGCGGGCAAATCCTACCCTCTCCTTCCAGATGCCCAGGCCCTCCAGCCTCTTGTTCAGGCCGAACTGTCTTCCCTTCTCTTTCTTCTATTTGACATCTTCTATACTTCACAGGTCAGCTTGAGTCTCAAGACTTTCATAAAAATCCCTTAACTATCTCAGCGCACACAGCAGACTGGGTGTTGCGAGAACCTAGACTTCAGAACGCGGCCGTCTTTGCAGCTCGGGAAAATGAGGCCGATGGCCGGAGACGCAGCTCCTTCTCTGAAGCTGTCGCTTTTCCTTAACGGCTTGTCAAGGTGCTTAGTCATCATCCCACCAATGTTCTCGCCGCTTCCCATCTTCCCGAACAAGCAGCCTGGCTCCAAGAGGATAAGGGGATCTATGAGGCTTCTTCTGTCACAACCTCAACTCCCTACTCTGGGGCAGGGTTAAAATGTTCTCAGTAAATGACTCCTATCGAAAGAAACGCAGGGAAAGTGAGTCACAGAGCGTATAAGGTAATAAAATTGCGGGAGAAAGAATCTGACTGCGGGTCTTTCCAATCACTGCCAGGTAACAAGTGGCCTAATTTTCAGGGACCCATCCCAACTTTCAACCACCAGGCAACCTGGTCTAACACAACACTCCTATGCCTTCTTTCAGAAAAAGGGTATCACAGACGTAACTAAGGATCATGATATGAGATCATCCTGGATTATGCAGGTTGGTCTTAAATCTAATGACATGTCCATATAAGGGACAGAAAAGCAGACAAGACAGAGATGGGAAGGCTCCGTGAAGAGATCCACGCAGATTGGAGTTATGCAGACACAAGCCTGAGCCAACAGCGGCTGGAAGAGGCCCGGATGGATGGCCGCGTGAAGAGATCCACGCAGACTGGAGTTATGCAGACACAAGCCTGAGCCAACAGCGGCTGGAAGAGGCCCGGATGGATGGCCCCGTGAAGAGATCCACGCAGAGTGGAGTTATGCAGACACAAGCCTGAGCCAACAGCGGCTGGAAGAGGCCCGGATGGATGGCCGCGTGAAGAGATCCACGCAGATTGGAGTTATGCAGACACAAGCCTGAGCCAACAGCGGCTGGAAGAGGCCCGGATGGATTCCACCTAAAGCCTCCAGAGGGCATGTTGTCCTGCTGACACCTTGATTTCAGACTTCCGGCCTCCAAAACGGTGAGAGAGTACATTTCTATTGATTTAAGTTACCTAGTACCGGGGACTTTGTTTCAGCAGCCTTAGGACAGTCTTACAAACAGCAAGTGCTTCCTTGAAGAAAGACCTGGGATGCCCATCTGTCTTCTTCTGCACTGTCTGCAAAGGCGTCCATGGAGCCATTAAGCATTAGCAGGTCCGGGTAACCCGATAGCCTGGGTGTTGGGAGAGTATTCCCAGGATGCAGCATGAACCCAGAGGAGAAGCTCTTGTCCAGGCATTGCCAGAATGGGGGTGGGGGCAAAGAGGAGCAAGTAAAGGGGGGTGTTCACTGAAGGCTCTGGGAGGACAAGACTCTGCAGTGAGCAGGCCGCTGGGTGAGGGCTTGGAAGAGCTGGCGCACAGGAGGCCGAGCACAGCGGTCACTGTTAACACACATCCAAGTGTGCACTGAGGAGGCCAGGGCTCTAGGTACGGGTCGGGTCTCTGGGGGCTTTGCAGGCCACGGTAAGAAGTACAGACTTTTCTCTTGGAGCAGACTGTCAGCTGGGGAAGTAGCAGTCCATGCCCGGGCATGTGTGTTTCCATTGCTTGGTTGTCACTGTAAAGGAGAAAAACTCTTTCTTCCCTTCTAGGTTCTTTGGCTGGCCTAATAATTAAATTGACATATGATAGATCAATGGGAATAAAACCTAATTTAATTGAACATATGCACAGAAACTCATAAAAATATGAGACTCAAAGAACTGACCAAAGTAGGCAGCTTTTATACCTTTTAGAGAAAGAAACAACAAATTTGTGAGGAGCTGAGAAGGCAAAGGGTTTCGGGCTTGGGATCAATTCAGTTTAGTTCAGACCCTCAGTCGTGTACCACTCTTTGCAGCCCACGGACTGCAGCACGCCAGGCTTCCTTGTCCATCACCAACTCCCAGAGCTTGCTTAAACTCTTGTCCACTGAGTTGGTGATGTCATCCAACATCTCATCCTCTGTCATCACCTTCTCCTCCTGCATTCAATCTTTCGCAGTATCAGGGTCTTTTCCAATGAGTCACTTCTTGGCATTAGTGGTCAAAGTATTCGAGTTTCAGCTTGAGTATCACTCCTTCCATTGAATATTCAGGACTGATTTCCTTTAGGATTGATTGGTTGGATCTCCTTGCAGTCCAAGGGACTCTCAATAGTCTTCCCCAAAACCAAGTTCAAAAGTATCAATTCTTCCACACTAACCTTTCTTCATAGTCCAACTCTCACATCCATACATGGCTACTGGAAAAAACAGCTTTGACTACATGGAGTTTTGTTGGTAAAGTAATATCTCTGCTTTCTAGTATGCTGTCTAGGTTTGTCGTATCTTATCTTCCAAGGAGCAAGTGTCTTTTAATTTCTTGGCTGCAAGCACCATCTGCAGTGATTTTGGAGCCCGAGAAAAAGTTTGTCACTGTTTCCATTGTTTCCCCATCTATTTGCCATGAAGTGATGGGACTGGATGCCTTGATCTTAGCCTCTTGAATGTTGAGTTTTAAGCCAACTTTTTCACTCTCCTCTTTCACTTTCACCAAGAGGTTCTTTAGTTCCTCTTCATTTTCTGCCATAAGGATAGTATCACCTGCATATCTGAGGTTATTGCTATTTCTCCTGGAAGACTTGATTCCAGTCTGTGTTTCATCAAACCCAGCATTTGGCAGAAGGAAATGGCAGCCCACCCCAGTACTCTTACCTGGAAAATCCCATGGACGGAGGAGGCTGGTAGGCTACAGTCCATGGGGTGGCAAAGTGTCGGACATGACTGAGCGATGTCACTTCCACTTTCACTCTGCATTTACAGTGGAAGTGAGAAATAGATTCAAGGGGTTAGATCTGATAGACAGAGTGCCTGATGAACTATGGACAGAGGTTCGTGACATTGTACAGGAGACAGGGATAAAAACCATCCCAAGGAAAAAGAAAAGCAAAAAAGCCAAATGGCTGTCTGAGGAAGCCTTACAAATAGCTGTGAAAAGAAGAGAAGTGAAAAGCAAAGGAAAAAAGGAAAGATATACCCGTTTGAATGCAGAGTTCCAAAGAATAGCAAGGAGAGATAAGAAAGCCCTCCTCAGGAATCAGTGCAAAGAAACAGAGGAAAACAGTAGAATAGGAAAGACTAGAGATTTCTTCAAGAAATTAGAGATACCAAGGGAAACTTTCATGCAAAGATGGGCTCAATAAAAGATAGAAATGGTGTGGATCTAACAGAAACAGAAGATATTTAGAAGAAGTGGCAAGAATACACAGAAGAACTATACAAAAAAGATCTTCATGACCCAGATAATCACCATCGTGTGTTCACTCACCTAGAGCCAGACATCCTAGAATATGAGGTCAAGTGGGCCTTAGGAAGCATCACTATGAACAAAGCTAGTGGAGGTGATGGAATTCCAGTTGAGCTATTTCACATCCTAAAAGATGATGCTGTGAAAGTGCTGCACTCAATATGCCAGCAAATCTGGAAAACTCAGCAGTGGCCACAGGACTGGAAAAGGTCAGTTTTCATTCCAATCCCAAAGAAAGGCAATGCCAAAGAATACTCAAACCTCACAATTGCACTCATCTCACATGCTAGCAAACTAATGTTCAAAATTCTTGAAGCCAAGCTTCAACAGGACATGAACCGTGAACTTCCAGATGTTCAAGCTGGATTTAGGAAAGGCAGAGGAGCAAGAGGTCAAATTGCCAACATCCGCTGGATCATCAAAAAATCAAGAGAGCTCCAGAAAAACATCTATTTCTGCTTTATTGACTATGCCAAAGCCATTGACTGTGTGGATCACAATAAACTGTGGAAAATTATGAAAGAGATGGGAATACCAGACCACCTGACCTGCCTCTTAAGAAATCTATATGAAGGTCAGGAAGCAACAGTTAGAACTGGACATGGAGGGAGGATCGGGATGGGGAATACATGTAACTCCATGGCTGATTCATGTCAATGTGTGACAAAACCCACTGCAATGTTGTGAGGTAATTAGCCTCCAACTAATAAAAATAAATGAAAAAAAAAAAAAAAAGAACTGGACATGGAAAAACAGACTGGTTCCAAATAGGGAAAGGAGTACATCAAGGCTGTATACTGTCACCCTGCTTATTTAACTTATATGCAGAGTACATCATGAGAAACACCAGGCTGGATTAAGCACAAGCTGGAATCAAGATTGCCAGGAGAAATATCAATAACCTCAGATATGCAGATGACACCACCCTTATGGCAGAAAGTGAAGAACTGAAGAGCCTCTTGATGAAAGTGAAAGAGGAGAGTGAAAAAGTTGGCTTAAAACTCAACATTCAGAAAACTAAGATCATGCCATCCGGTTGCATCACTTCATGAAGAATAGATGGGGAAACAGGGGAAACAGTGGATGACCTTATTTTTTTGGACTCCAAAATCACTGCAGATATTGACTGCAGCCATGAAATGAAAAGATGCTTGCTCCTTGGAAAAAAAGCTATGGACAACCTAGACAGCATATTAAAAAGCAGAGACATGACATTACCAACAAAGGTCCGTCCAGTCAAAGCGATGGTTTTTCCAGTAGTCATGTATGGATGTGAGAGTTGGACTATAAAGAAAGCTTAGCATCAAGTAATTGATGCTTTTGAACTGTGGTGTTGGAGAAGACTCTTGAGAGTCTCTTGGACTGCAAAGAGTCCCAACCAATCAATCCTAAAGGAAATCAGTCCTGAACATTCATTGGAAGTACTGATGCTGAAGCTGAAACTCCAATACTTTGGCCACCTGTTGCAAAGAACTGACTCCTTGGAAAAGACCTTGATGCTGGGAAAGATTGAGGGCGGGAGGAGAAGGGGATGACAGAGGATGAGATTGTTGGATGGCATCACCAACTCGATGGACATGAGTTTGAGTAAGCTCTGGGAGTTGCTGATGGACAGGGAAGCCTGAGGTGCTGCAGTCCATGGGGTCTCAAAGAGTCGGACACGACTGAGCAACTGAACTGAACTCTGTGTATTCTTGCCACCTCCTCTTAATATCTTTTGCTTCTGTCAGGTCCATACCATTTTTGTCCTATATTGTGACCATCTTTGCATGAAAGATTCCCTTGGTATCTCTAATTTTCTTAAAGAGATCTCTAGTCTTTCCCG